ATTAATTTATCAAATTTATAAGTCAATATATAATATGATATTAAACAAAAATACTTTAAGAAGACTATATTGAATATCTATTTAATTATGTTAATGTATCAAAAATTAGTTGCAGTGACTAGTGAGTGAGTGCTACCAGGAAAACATGGTACATGGGGACAGATAAAAATCCGAGCAGAAGAGCAAGGTGGGCAGGTCGTGACCATTTAATCATTATTGAATGGTAGATATGTTCATTTTTCAAGGGCCAACGCTCACCTCCTATTATCACCTTAAATTTCTTGTCAACTTGATGTAATCATTATTCAATAATCCATATAAATTGAAACTAACTCATCTAAATTTTATTGTATAAAAAAATGAAAAATCAGATTTTTTTTTATTATTAAAAGCTGCTGTTGATAGTTTCTTATCATTTTAATTAAAAAAACAAAATAATTTTCTTTTCATAAGAAATCTCTAGAGATAACAATTCTTTTAGACAATTTTTTTGGATGTATTTTTAATAAGTTTGTCCCCAGATGACATGGCTTTGGAATGTACAATCGCGTGAGATTAATTGGCCGTCGAATTACTTAATGGGAAAACAATATAAATCACCGAGATAAATTAATATTGAGATAACTTTATACACAATATCAATTTAGTCTCTTAGTTTCAAAAAGTATAATTTTAGTCATTTAACCTTAAAGTTGTTAACAAAAAAATGTAACATTGAGATTAAGATCTTGAATATTGATAAAATATTTTCAAATGCTAACATATTAAATTTAATTTTTAAAATAGTCATGATTATTACAAAAATAATTATTTAAGCCTAACAATTTTTGGGTTAAGGAACCAAAAATATACTTTTTAGGTTTTTAAAGTTAAGATATTAAATTGAAACTTAATATAAAGTTAAATGACTAAATATACTTAAGTTTAATTTATAAATATATTATCTTGATTTACTTTATTTCTCATATTTATTATTTATTATTATTAATTGACCTAATTTATAAATTGATATATGATATAATATTACATAAAAGTATTTTTAAAAAAATCCGGACACATTTATTACAATTTATTTATTTATTTTTAATATATTTAAATTAATTAATTAAGTAGCTTGTATATTATGAAGGAGAGAGAAAGTACATCTTTTGCGCATAGAGTTGAGATTGATGGAAGAATACTTTTGAGATCAATTTTACCAGAAAAAACACACAATGTATACCTTCGTCCTTCAAATCACTGAATCGCAGTCTCATATCGAACTCGATCATTTCTCCAAGAAGGTCGGAATTAATTCACGAATCCTCAAAGCAAATTAAACTTAGAAAAATAGTCCTAATTAATCCCAGATGTGATGCAAATTAAACACACTAATTCCCTTAATCTTTCTCCATATCATAATTACCGGACAAATCAAACCATTTCTTCAATTAGTCGATATAAACAATAGTTTTCTGTATATATATATATTCATGTCACACTCATTCGTGATGAACAGTTGGTTTCGGATATTTATTAATCTTTCGTGCATCAACTTAATTTTCACGCACCTACGTCCTGCCTGTTTACCGTTTGAAGAGGTCCAAACTAAACGTCCTTTGATTCCCTCCGGCCTCAAATTGCCGTCCAGGCTTATGTGCAAAGCTTATGTAGCTCCAATGCACTCCAATCCAAATCAAACATTAATTAATTTAAATCTATCTCTAGCGTATAACTTGGCGACCTCAACCTAGCTTCTGTTTTGTTTATGATAGCCGTACGTACTGGAGCTTCTGCAAGTTTTGCTTGCGTTGGAGAATTAATGATCATGATGATGCGAAGAACAGGAAAGAAGAAGCAAAGTTTGTTAGTGAAGTTGATGTTAAGTCCCATTAGGGTTTTGAAGAGGGCAAGGCAACTTTACATGAAGGGGGTTCAAGACTGTGCCGGCGAGCTTGCTCTTGGCGGCGGTGTGGCGTGCTATTCAACTTTTCCGATCTCGCATTCGTATCATCCTCACCGGACCTTCCTCGACGTGAAGCCATTAAGGGCTCGTTTTGGTGGTGATGATGCTGATACTGTTGATGAACAGCGAGTTCTCAGAGGAGTTCATCACGTCACAAATATGAAAAATAACGCTGCAGAGAGCCAAACAAGGCTGCTGTTCTTCGTAGCGTAATGGAACAATGATTAGAAACATGGGACGAATTGACGAGGATAAACCTTGTAATTTTGAGGAAGATCAGATCGATATGAAGACAACTACTGCACGTTCGGTGTTGCGTCCACGAAGATCCTACTTTTATTAAAACATGATTGCAACACATATACCTTCTACGTTGTTTTCTCTTTATTTGACAGTTGAGATATGGAAGTTAGAAATATGCTAGCCCCTACTTATGTTCCAAGAGCACCGAGTTTGTCTTGGAGCACTTCTCTAGAATATTAACAACATTAACTAATTTGTGATATCCCTTTTCCATGACTTTGTTGCATTTTGCTAATGCCATGTGTTTGTTTTCTTCTTATACATACACAAATAGATAGATAGATAGATAGATAATCTAGTTTTTTGATCCTATTTATAAGTCATTTCTGGTATGTTTCACATATATTAAGAAAAATCTTAAGTTTTATTAGCTCTCTTTCAAAATTTAATAATTTTCTAAGTTTATTTCTATTTAATATATACTCCCTCCGGTCCTAAATAACACCTATTTTATAGTGTAATTTACATTACAAAATAGGTATTATATTTAGGGCTGGCGGAGTATATTATATCTCTTAAGAATAAAGCTAACACAATAATAAATGAAAGATAAAATTATATATTCATATAAATAACTTCTCTCTTTATCCTATAAATAAGATTAAAAAATTTATTCTCCCTCTGTCCTTAGAGCTCGTTCATTTCTCACAAAATACAACATCATTCATGTCCAATCTAAATAGCACTTGCTAGCAAATGACTTCGTGTTTTCCTAGAAATCACCCATAAGGCCTTTTAATCAAAATGTCCCGGAAAATACCTAATTGATATCCGAATCATTTATGACGACAGTAATTGACTCAATAAGATATGTTGAGAAACCAGTGCGTGAAGACACCAAAGTTTTCCTATGTCTCTGTGCGAGTGCTATTTTCAAATCATCCATCATGGCGGGGATGGAACGATGAGATAAGGTGTACAATAGTGGGGAAGGAGAGAGAAAGCATGGAGGTTATGGAGGGGGGGAGGTCGAAGAAGATGATGATTCAGATTAACGGAATATTCAACTGTGTAAATAATGGGCCAAGAATGGGCCAAGCTATTAGCCAACAAGCCCATCACCTCGAAAGAAGCCCAAACCCACCGCCAAGTTGGGGAACAAAATTATCTTATCTTTCTTTGGTACAAAACAAAAGAGATCCAGTCTTGATAGTCGAAAAATTTAACAAACTCATTTGTTTATTGTCGGCCAGCAGCCGCAATCTGCAACGGTAGTTGTTGGATTGCAAGGTTTTATATATATGTAACGTCTCTTGTTAACCACAATATGCCAACATCAACCACCACATGCCTCTCTCTATCCCCTGTTTGGTTATTTCTGAGATGAACCCCCTCGTGATATATTTTCTTCGGTCCTCAATATAAAACCCATTTTATAGTATAATTTATACTATAAAATGAGTCTTTTATTTAAGATTGAAGGAGTATAATTGAATAATTTCTTGGTATCAAATCTATGTGGTTTTCAATTTTGCCCAACCCGGACGTATATTCATCTAGGTTCATCAATAAATCAGGTCAAGAATCTTGTGTGCTTAGAATAATATAATAATTAAAACAAACTAGCGATCGACACTACTATATCCATTCAAATTTGATAAGTGAGCATCTTGACAAAATACTCATTCAGTTTTAAATATAAAATCTATTTTATAGTATAATTTATACTGTAAAACGGGTTTTGTATTTAGAATTAGAGAAGTATTATTTTATTCTGATCACCTGTTTACATACCAAAATGAAGACAAGAATATGGAAAGAAAGAAGGGGCAAAAGAAACGTACATTGCACTTATGTATATAGGCGGATTGCCAGAAGAGTGTTCCATAAAACACAGAGAAAGAGACAACTTACGACAAATTCCACGTGCTTTTGTCTCTACCTTCAACAACGAACATCCAAGTTATACTCAACAAATTTATACTGAGAGGAAGAATAAATTAATAATAAGAGTTACTTTGGGTTAGTTTTGGTTTTAAACATATTATGTACCTTACTTTATTTTACATTTCAAATTTATAAAATTTTCCCCGAAATTTAGTTTAATTAAGTTAAATTTTTTAATATTTGTAAATTAATTAGTTATCTAACTTTTAAATATATTTAGAGTTGGAAAGAGTACACAGTACATAGTTTTGTTCCATTAAAAGAAAGTTGTTGAGCGAATTCAAGACAGAATATTAATTATGAGGGTAGTGACAGCATAAACTATAATAAATCTCAGTATCCTCATATATAGAACTACTTTCGGTTCTTAGTATAAGAACTAGTTGACTAATTTAAGTAGCTTAAGAAAATTAGTTAAGTTAGTTATTTGTAATACATATGTGTTTTCTTTTCTAAAATATTTTTTTTCTAATTAAGTGTATTTGCTGAAACTATCATTATTACAGGAATTATTTTAAAAAAATAAATAAATATAAGAGATAAAATGGGTTGGGATCTTATAATTAGATCAAAATAAAAATCAAATAAATTCTTTTATTAAAAACTGTAGGTAGTAATAAAGAACAACGGCCCTCAGCTTTTAAGATCATCAGTGGCGTAAGAAACTTGTCTGTATGTCTATCCAGTAAAACTTTTCTCTGTCTATCTCAAGATTCCTTCCCCATAGAAGCTATAGCTTCCTCTTTGGAAATTAAAGCATATAATTTGCTGGTTTTATGTTCATCAAGCAGGCGCCCAATATATATACACACACGCACACACATATATATATATATATATATATATGATTAAAAGATAAGCCAGCTTGTGAAACCATTCTTTAATTTGCAGTTATATATAAATCAACTACAGATAATGGACCATGGACTGAATCAAAAAGATTTTTTAGGGGGAAAACACAGAAAACACATCTTCTTTTTTCGAACGATAAAACTCGTGTCTGCAACTGCAAAAAACTGAATAGTGGAAGCAGAAAACTGAACTGACGAAAAAGTGGCATATACGGACTTCAGCTAATTGCCTCGTACATGAAATCTACGACAGTTCGATCAAACATATAGGAGAGGCCATAGATCTTATGGCTTATAAGGCTTATGCTTTTGAGTGTAGATGTAATCCAAGTGAGCCGCAAGTGTCCTTCTCATCAAGCATTCTTCTTCTCCAACCCCTTCACAACTTTCCTCCTCAGTATTCACCTTCTCCACCACTTCCAAATTAACCTGCAGAACCATGAATTAATAACTTCATTAATGGAAATATCATCAGAAGAAGCAGAGATTTTAACGACACATATAGTTTGAAGAAGATAATACATTTATTGTATGTATTATATAATTAATGAAACCGGCAAGCTCACCTTATGTTGAGTCTTGATTGGGACAGCGAGGGAAGAAGAAGGAACAGGCCTGCCTGCACGTGATATGCTGAAGAGGAAGAAGAGGAAGAAGAAAGACATGCAGATACATGTTCTGACATTGGACCAAGACATCTTCATTCCTAGTTTTCTTCGACTGTGCTGATTAAGAAAGTTCTAATTAACACTAGAGTATATCAGATACACAGATAATGCTGCTCCGAAATCAACTTATATAGACAGCGTGTTGAAAATAAAAGAGGGGAAACGTGGAATTTTGCGCCTCTAAGTTTTCTTTTTTTAATTATATTTATTTTCCACTCAGGCTTCTTGTAAAAAAAAAAAAGGTTTTTTTTAAGGGAAAAAATGAAATTGAATCTATATATCTATATAAGTAATACTCTTCCGGTCCTAAATATAAGACCCTAATACTGTGTATAAGGATCTTATATTTAAGACCGGATGAGTATAAAATTTATATATAAATCATGAACAGCGTACCTCACCTCACTTTGGACTTCAATCTATAGTTTATACAAAATAGGCTACTGTATAATATATATATATATATATATATGGCACAGAAAAATGGCTTCTTAATAACTCTAATCTGTTAAGTTGGCAATGAATTGATGATACATTGGGTGGGATGGTAAGAAAGGTAGATGTTGTGTTGAATAAATGGAGGACAATAGAAGCAGCTTCTTCAAGCTATGATATCTGGCCACACATATAATGATCAATACACTCTTGAATGCGAAAAGTTACACACACATACACACACACACAGAACCATCTCGTTTTGGAAAATAGAAGTTATATTATACACTGCCAATTTGGTCAGACGTGAATGAATGAGGGTATATATGTACAATATCATTGGTGTGCTTAGCTATATTATTATAAACCGCTATAAATAACTTAGATATATTATATTTACTTTTACTCTTCTAGTTGACTCATTTTATAGTGTAAATTACACTACAAAATAAGTCTTATATTTAGAATTAGAAGGGTGCAAGAATATTTTAAAGAAAAATCATATCACATTTATTATGATTATTGATTTATTTAATTTTTTAAGCCACTCGAATTATTTAAATGACTTTTATAGCAAGGATCAGAGGAGTTCAATGATACAAGCTCATATATAAGATGGGAAAGAAGTGATTGAACAATAATGAATTGATTAGAGGAAATAGGTAGGGCATTAAAATATTGTTTGGTACGAAACATTAAAAAAGGGAGACTGAGACTGGGATTAGAATTAAGAAAATCTATTAAAGAATATTTAACATGAGAGATTACTTATTACATGGGATTAAAGAAACGCATGTATGTGGGATTGAGTACTGTGGGAGGAAGTGGTATTTCCCAATCCTATTTTTATTGGTTTTCCTAATCTCACGTAACAATCAATTATTTATGTTAAGGCTTTTTTAATTATTTTTTTAATCACAATTATAGTCTCTATCTTTTATTTTTAATGTTTCATACCAAACTGGGACTTAAGAGTGTGCGTGTATATGCAAGTAGGTGACATTTAATGATTTAAAAATGAAAAGAGATGTGCTTATTTCTGAGACCTGATCTGTGTGAGTGGCAGGAAAGTGATGACGAACATGCACCTCATAACGCTTAAAACTGTTGCTGTACCATTTTCCATACGGCATCAAATTAAATTATTGCACTATTGTAGGCCATGCACACAAAATGAAAGGTCCTCTTTTTTTTCCAATCGATTTTCTCAATTTGTTTAGGAAAAATTACAAATAAAGACCCCAGTATATAAAATTATAATTTGAGACCCTCAATTTGAAAAATAATAAATAAGGACCCAGTCTCACTTTTAAAAATATGAAATTGTGGTGAAATGTCTGAAATGCCCCTCAGTCAAATGACAAGTTGACTTTAGCGAATAACGACTTCAGTAGACCAAATCACAACTTGGTTGAGAGTATACTAAATGAAGAGTTGACTATGAAAAATGACAAGTTCACTTTAACGAATAACAATTTCAGTAGATTAAATTACAATTTGGCTGAGAAGCATTCTAGGCATTTCACCCACATTTCATATTTGCAAAAGTGGGACCCGGTTCTTATTTGCTATTTTTCAAATTCAGGGCATCAAATTGTAAGTTCACATATTAGGAGGTCTTTATTTGTAATTTTTCTATTTGTTTATGGCCTTTTTTCCATTTAAAAAGGTGTTTATTAATAAGTCATGAGAAAAAGTATTTCCAAATAAGAGTTGTTTTTTTCCTAATATATATACACTTAAGGATACAAATGTTGTATGTAGTAATTACTTGTTATGATTTTCATTAATTTCTTAAATGAATGTAAGTACTATTCATCCGATTCTTAATATAGGACCTAATTGTTAAATTGGTTTTAATCTTAAATATAAGATTTATTTTTTATATTTATCATTTTTTTTCAAATTACTCCTATTGATACTCTTTCAACTATAATCAAGTAGAAGAGAGAGAGAGAATATTAAGGAGGATGATTATAGTATTTTAGGAAAAATATATCATATTTCTTATAATTAACTAATTTATTTGACCACTTTAATCTAATCAAATTAACTAAATAGATCTTATATTAAGAACCAAAAGAGTACTATATTATAAGAAAACGATTTGTGTCGCACCCGAGGAATTTTTCGGCCAATTAGTGAATTGGATTCTCCTTGGATTTTATCTCAATACTCTCCATACCTAATTTGGAGCGTTGGTTCAATGTGAAGTAGACAGGACAGGATCCCCTACAAAATTGCCACATCACCGTGCACAAACAGCCTAGTCGGTCAAGCCCTTCTTACAATATTTTGTTTGAATCGATTAGACCCGGCCCAACCAGATGGGAAAAATGACCGGCCCAATCATATAACATTAAAATAAATAACATGTTATATCTGAACTTTAGCATGTAATTCAAAACATCCCAAAGTGTTCTATAAAAACTAAAAAAAAAAAAATCCCAAGTTTTCTTCTCACAGCAGGAGTTTGTATGGTGCCGTAATGGTAATAATCCTATACTCCTATTGCAATTTAGAGCCCCCCCCAAAAAACCTTTTTTTTTTTTGCTTTATTATAAAATGCACCTAACCTAAAGTACATTTTGGGAATCCAAATCCTTAATGTTATGTAACAAATCAAATCCCCCGTAAGAAGCATGAATTGACGTTGTAAAGACTTTGGTTATCTTATTTTATTTTTTCTGTGATGAATAGCACTCATCAATAGCAATTAACAAACGTTGGGAAAGTTAAAAAGAAGTGAACACAAAGGCCAACATGATGACCCAAGCATGCCCTTAAGATAACCGTTAAACAGCTCTCTTCAATGATTATTATTCATCTTCATATCTCATCTCCTCAATATCTAAATATATTAATTGTTTTACATGTATCTATCACACTCACTGAGGTAAATTATATATATATATATATATATATATATCCATCCAAACCTAGCCTAAATCGTTTTACAAGCTTGTACTCAATTTATGAAAACTCACTATTTATAAATTATAAATAATAAGACTCATTACAAACTCTATATAAAATACTACCTCCGGCTAAATATAAGATCTGGTTTGTAGTATAATTTGCACTAAAAACTAAATCTTATATTCAGGAAATGATATCTTTATTTTTCAGTTTGGTTAATCATTAACATTATCAAAGATTAGATGGGCAACCTAAAATTGGTTAGATTACTAAATTAAAGGACTCTAAATTCAATCATTTGTTGACGTTAGCTTGCTGTACATTGCACAGACCCAACGATGCTCCAGACATCTTTGTTTGTCTCAATAATAATTGCATGCCAATGAGATTGCAATAAATTAAGTGATAAAGGAGTTGGAATGTTCCCTTTTTCAATCTGCAGTTCTCAAATGATTCACTTTGCCCACTTTTGAAGGCTAACATCTCCCTCACACCTCATAAGTATATGATCTATTTTATCAACAATAATCCAGAGGAAAAGAATACTTCATTCTGGAAAAAAAAGAGAATAAAACTTTATGCAATAATCAGTCATGTATATGAAACATATTGGAGCCACTAATCAATCACGAAGTTGCTTTTTGTTTCCTCCATCAATCATAGTATCTGCTGTATATCAATGTCTTTTCCCCACCACACCCACCCTTTTGCTTTAATCTCTTTCTTACGCTCTTCTATCCTTTGATTCCTTTCATTCATTATACAGACATGTTCTATTAACACTTTAACAGTCTCATCCTCAAAATCTCACACAACCTTTTCTCTTTCGTACCCTCTTGCCCTTCTTCTGATGGATGCTTCCAGACCAGAATCTGCTAAACAGCTAAAAGAATATCTTCAACATCAACAAGAGCCATTTTCATTGCAAACCTATCTCTCAGAAAGAAGTTACATGCTCAAGAACTCCGCCTCTGATGCTGCTACTAAGAGTATTCATTGCCTTCGTTCACAGAAGAATCTGAAGGGATCAGTCAAATGTGATTTGTGCAATGTAGGAAGTAGATTGTTACTAGCTAAAGGCATCTTAAGATCAATGCTTTGCAAGTTCACTCTCTCGGGTGATTACCATGAGTTCTCAACCTGGGGCGGACAGCATAAGAATGATCAATATGTGCATAGGACAACCGCAGACACTCAGAAAAAGCCAAAATATAGGTTCTACTCGAAGAAAAGATCAGCAGCATCGGATAATTTTACTTGCCATGATGTTGAAGACAATTTTTTGTCTTGTGAACATCATGGCTCAGTTCTGATGAGCATGTTTGAGACATTTACGCTTCCTGAATTCAGAAGCGTAGAGGTAACAGATCATTTTCTTAAAACACCATTGACAGCTGTTAGAAATTTCACATTCACCTCCTAGAGAAAACATAGATAAAGACATTGTTATTAGCTTTCTCAGTAACGATAATGCATAAATACTTTTTACAAGTCATCATCACATGATTTACTCTCTTTTTAAGATCATATGTCATTCAAAATCTGACGAGTCCCATTGACTCTCCTATATTCAATTTGTCCCAGGAATCTGTCGGAGATCCCATGTTTTCAACCTATCTAAGGAAGCAATTTGTGAACTTGGATATTGGCAAAACGGGACATGTACGAAATAACAAACCGCAGATGGTCAGTACAACTATTTGCCAAAGAGAGAAAAGGATCCTGCAGACAAGAAAGCAGCTACAGTTGGGCTGTGCAGGAAAAGCAGAACAATTCCATGCACATGAAGGTAAAAGACTTTCAATAAAAGCAATTTCAGAGCTTGAAAATATAATAAATGAGAATTTTGGTCTGCTGGAGAAACAGTATGCAGAAGCCAAAAACATGACCCGCTTGTTGCATGCAGAACCCTTCCTTACATCAGAAGAGTGGAGAAATTCCAACGTACAAAATTGGGAGATACAAATGGAGATAGGAGATGCTATTATGGATGACATTGTCAAAGAAACTATTGTTTCATTCTTGGGTTAAGCATCAGTGTTCATGAAATGAATATTCCTCTTAATGCTTGGTTTTCACAACCTGGCCAGTACTTAAAGCTACACCATTTAATTGTTGAACATGAACACCCATGCAATTTGACATATCAGAGATTCAGAATTCCCCGGGGGGGGGATTCTGACTGGTACTGTCGGAGCAACCAATCCTCATTGCAATTTCTTTTCACCAAAATAAAAGAGAGCAAATAGTTTTGTGATCATCAACTACTCCTCTGGTTCTAAATGTAAGACCCTTATACACACTAATATCATCAACCGGAGGAGTATCAGTCCAACACAGAAATCGAATGAATGTAAAGCCAACTAGGATCAAGACTTGAGCAATGCAGTAAATCGGCGTATTGCAGGCACTACTACGTGTAAGAGATAACTTTTAGTACTCCTCTATCTGTTTAATGAGAAACATGACCAGGACTTTGACGCCCCCTTCTTTGTTCTCCATTGCAATATTTTCTTCTTCGAACTAGCATAAGCCTGAGAGAAAGCCATATACAGTCCCAAACTCATGTCTCACACAAAAGGTAAGAACAGAGTAGGTAAAGGGAGATTTTACTGAGTTCCTTTAGAAAAAAAGAAAAAGAAAAAGTGAGCCTCCCCTTCTCTTTGAACCAAAACGAGAATTAATATCCGCATATATTACACGGGATGTAAAATCTAATTGTTTTTATACATGGGCGAAACTGCTTTATTATGCCGAGTTTCAAAAGAAAAGGGCCCTTTTATTTGAAGTATGCGAAAGTAGCGTGGTGAAGTTAATAGTGCCAATCAAATGGCAGGATTGTTACAGATATAATAATACTTGTGAGCGCCACGTTCACGCCAGCTGGAGTAGCTCAGTTGGTTAGAGCGTGTGGCTGTTAACCACAAGGTCGAAGGTTCAAGCCCTTCCTCTAGCGCTTATGTTTTTAATTTTTCTTTCCAACCTGGCTTCCTGTTCTTCGGCGGAAGGAGTACCCGCCAAAGCGATGCCCTTTGGAATTGGATTACCATTGCCTGTTTTTTGGGTGCCCACCTTCTAGCTGCCGGTTCTGGGGCACGCCTTCATCTTCAGTCCCAGGCGCTGTCTTTGTCGCCATCCTTAAAACTGCCAGGGATCAAATAAACGTGGCATTTAAGTTTTTTTCCAGTTTCCCAAAAGAAGAAAAATCACGAAACACTGCCAGGTGGAAGATGTTGAGGCACCTAATGGATTCAGGCTCGGGGCAAGTGGGGCCATCTCTCTTTGTCACTAACTCATCTCCAAACTTCTCCATCTTTCTGGAATTTCCCTCCGTGCTCTGTTCTTTTCACTTTTTCTATGGAATCATCATTATTCGTTGTGATTCCCTGGCCTTTACTCAATTCTCATTTCCTTCAATATTTTTCATGGCAACTCTTTCTGCAGTTTCTCACTCTTCCTTATCCTCATTGACTCGAAGAATTGGGAACAAAAGGAGGACGAACAACGCATTGAACTACGTTATCTTCCGAGTGAATTCTTTGAACTCCAGAAAGAATTCACTCACGCCTCTAAAAGCATCACTCAAAGATGAGCAGGATGGCGATTCCTCTTCTCCTTCTACTACTACTACGGCTGCTGTAGTTCCTGAGAATGGAAGGGATAAACATGATTCCGGAGTTCACGAGCAGTTGAGAAAAGAAGGCGAAGTGGAAGACGAGCAAAGTTCTACTGAGGAAAAGGAGAAGCAGCAAGAAATGGATTGGAAGACTGACGAGGAGTTTAAGAAGTTTATGGGTAATCTTTCTATTGAAGCGGCGATAAAGCTGGAGAAGAAGAGGGCTGATAGGAAGCTGAAGGAACTTGACAGAGATGGCAGCAGTAACCCAATTTTGGGTCTTTTTAATAGGTTGGTGCGCGAGAGTGTGACTAGGGAAAGGGAGAGATTAGAAAAAGCAGAGGAAACCTTCAAGGCTCTTGATCTTAACAAGGTAGTGATTATTCACTGTGTTCTGAAACCGATAACCCTTCTTTAATAAGGAAATATACTTTTAATCTTTGAATATTTGTTTTGTTGGGAGCTTCAGAATTATGAGTTTGTTAGCATCTACCTATTTCTATTGAACATTATAGCTATAATCATATTTGCTCAAAGTTAACGATGAAGCATGTTTGACACGTATCTTATTTTACATGACAGTTAAAGAGCTGCTTTGGGTTTGATACATTTTTTGCAACTGATGTTCGGAGGTTTGGAGATGGGGGCATATTTATTGGGAATTTGAGGAGACCCATTGATGAGGTAATTCCCAAGTTGGAAAAAAAGCTATCTGAGGCAGCAGGTCGAGATGTGGTATTATGGTTCATTGAAGAGAAAGCAAATGACATTACAAAACAGGTACTCCACAATGAACTGAAAGTAAAATTTGCTGTCTATATTATAATGCATTATCTTATCTAGCAGTGGAATAACCTTTTGACCACAAGACTCGGAAGTGTTCAGTTGTCTAATGATTATTTTGTAGTCAAACATCGAGTCCACTTATATGCATGCTTTATGTCCTGATATTAAATCTTGACTTTATGCCATTTTCTAAAACTCTTAGGGACTTAAATCTTTTTTTCCAAATATTTTTTTCCCCAAAAGATTCTTCTTTTCCTTTTCGCAACGAATGCCATAACCTAAAATTCATTTGTATTCAGGCCTGTGTGGTGCAACCCAAATCAGAAATGGACCTTCAGTTTGAGACAACTAAGTTGAGCACTCCTTTTGGTTATCTTAGTGCAATAGCATTAGGTGTTACCACCTTTGGAACAATTGCTCTGATGAGCGGCTTCTTCCTTAAACCTGATGCGACATTTGATGACTACTTAGCTAACGTTGTGCCTCTATTTGGTGGATTCGTAACTATTCTGGGAGTATCTGAGGTAAGACATTCGTGAAGTTTTGCATCAACCTTAACAGAAAGAGTTGGATAAACTGCATAGATGTCTAGTCTAATAATGAGTATGTAGCTAAAGCAATGAATATTTTGTATATCCTTAACATTGCCTTGCAGAACGAGATATCTGAGGTTGAGAAAGTATTTGCAGGTTCTTCTTACTGTGTTACTTTAGTCGTAGATAGCTTTACCGAATACCAATCATTAAAAACCTGTCACTATTCGATTTTAGCTTGTATTCAACAGACCCCACGTATGCTGATAGTTAATGTATTTTGTAAAAATAAAAATCATGCATGCTGTAGTATGTCAGTTATTTGTTTCAGGGATAGCTATGCACACCTTTGGCGCTACTGTATCTTGTAGATTTGTTTATTTTCTTTGGCATGCTATTTATACTTTGGTTGTATCCTTCTCATCATGTAGATAGCTACCAGGGTAACAGCAGCTCGGTATGGTGTTAAACTTAGCCCTTCTTTCTTGGTGCCATCTAATTGGACGGGGTGCTTAGGAGTGATGAACAACTATGAGTCCCTCTTGCCAAGCAAGAAAGCTCTTTTTGATATTCCCGTGGCCCGTACAGCTAGTGCATATCTGACTTCATTAGTGCTCGCTGTTGCTGCTTTTGTTGCTGATGGAAGCTTCAATGGGGGCGATAATGCCATGTGAGTACTTATTAAAAGTATTACCGTTTGGTGATACTTTTTCTTCATCCAAAAAGGGAAAGTGAAACGTGCCTCTTCTTGTTGGGTCAAGGATCATGTTTTTGAATTGATAATTATGAAATTGTGTTGGAACTCAACTTCTATGCATTAACAGAGACTTGTATGTTGATGAATTTAAATGGTGAAAGATTACAAATTCATGAAAAATGATGAATCCAACGAGGCAAAACCAAGATTTCTCTGATCTTTGCTATATAAATCATGCATTACGTCACTTCAAGGGCCAACATGCTCAACCGAGACTGATTCCCATGATTTTAACTCTCTACTTGTTACTTGTGCAGGTATATAAGGCCTCAATTTTTCTATAACAACCCTCTTCTTTCTTTCGTCCAATTTGTCATTGGGCCTTACACGGATGATCTTGGAAATGTGCTGCCCTATGCTGTGGAAGGTGTTGGAGTTCCTGTTGACCCACTTGCTTTTGCAGGGCTGCTAGGTAAGTTTCTTCTGGCTTGTCTATTATTGTTCTAACATTCTATATGCTCGGCGTAGAAATTAGTTGGGCAATGCCCTCCTAGATGTAATAACGTGAGATGTATAATACTATGCTTCTCCAGGGATGGTGGTTACTTCTTTGAACTTGCTGCCTTGTGGAAGACTGGAAGGAGGTCGCATAGCACAAGCCATGTTTGGTAGAAGCACTGCCGCGGTGTTATCCTTCGCCACTTCGTTATTGCTCGGTATCGGTGGCCTGAGTGGTAGTGTCCTGTGTTTGGCATGGGGGTTATTTGCAACCTTCCTAAGAGGTGGGAAGAAATACCAGCAAAGGATGAGATTTCTCCTTTGGGGGAAAGCAGGTTTGCCTGGGGTATTGTCCTTGGCCTTATTTGTCTACTCACACTTTTCCCCAACGGTGGAGGCACTTTCTCCAGCTCATTCCTCAGTGGTCCCTTTTTCAGGGGCGATATGTAAATGGCTTACTGTAATTCTGTAATTAAATGTATGTAATTATTGCTGGAAAAAAAAGTATGTAATTATTATGTATTTATGTCATTCACTAGAGTGGTAGTTTTACTCCTTAGCTCTCACCTTTTTTCAACCAGCAATAGATTACAAGGTGGTTCCCAAGCAGTGAAATGTGTCTTGAGAACTCTGAAGAGAGTAATACTCAAACGTGAATTTGCATGAGAACGACATGAACTTAATTAGATTGGTGGATGCAACTCTCTGGACTCGAAACCAACTGGATATGGGATGTTGATGCAATCCTTAATGAATTTTTCGCTAATTAATTGGAATGATTGAAGAAGTCATATGATTGTGTTATTTGGTTATAACTATTCAACACATTATTTAAAAAATTTAAAGTTATTTGTAAATCTGGGAATGACATAAATAAAGTAATATTTGTAATTTTAAAGGAGAGTGTAAATTAAAAGAAAAAACTCTCTCAATACTATAAAATGGATTTTATATTTAAGATAAGAGGAGTAATAACA